AACAAGGTCTGCCTGTGTCATTTTTTATTAGATTTTCGGATAAGGTGTTGAGTTCGAAGTTTATATTTTGTTATTTTTGTTCAAGTACATTCGACTATAGCAGCCATTATCAAAAAACAACGTAACGTCTGTGTCGTAGTTAAAATTTCTTTCTCTGCAATTCTGATATTCATTCTTTGGGAAGCTGGAAGTTTGAAATGGTCGAGCATGACGCCATGTCACTTGTCGAAAAATCAGTGAAATCTGTGCACCCATCGGCCAGTACATCATGGACGACCTGTATGTAATTATTATGTAAAGTGGACAACGCCAAAATTCTCTGCAACACCCAATGCAACAAAAGACACGAAATCCTAGAAACTGTTATTATACATAATAAACACATTAAATAAAATATTCACCACAGGAGACGCTGTCATACAATATAATTAATGTACGCATATATTGTATTAGTATTAAGAAAAAAAAATCGCATTCTTTTTGTGTAACCTTGTTCCCAATAACCGTTACACATGACGTCACGCTAGACCCTTTTAATGCTAAGCAAATTGAACAATCCTAGAACATGTACCAAAAATGGCGTATAAACAAAGGAAAAATAATAGAGCCGTTATTGCTTTAAAGTTAAAAGGTTGAATGCTAGAAAAGTGACAGAGAACGTAAGATGATGTTGAAGTAAAATAGCAACAATGAGATACCCCTCCTAAACACAGGTGTTCACGCCCTTTCTCAGAAACAAATACCCCCTTTTTATGTTAAATGAGAGGGTAAAATCCCAAACACGTGCCCTACCGTCAAATCATTTCGATTTTTTATATTGTTAACATAAGGTAATGTATACAAATCAGTTCAGTTTTCGATTAGAAATCTTTTGACACAATACATATTTTTTTTTTTTAAAGTCAGTACAAGTGAATGTCTGAGATTAATTACTGGATACACAATACGGAAAAAAAGGAGCTACCACGCTGGAGCCAAGTGCCATTCACATATTTTCTGATTTTTAGTTTCGTTGTTTTGGTAACAAACCCATGCCGTATTTAGCGACGATTACTTTTTACAATTTTGAAACCTTTTAACATTGAATTTAGTAGAAAAAATTGAGCTTAAACAATTTTTTTTAGTAGAGTGGGTTGGGGGAAGTATTTTAAATGATTTTCTTAATATTGGTGTTTTTATCCTTCGCTGCATTTATAACAAAGAACCGTTTTTGTTTGTCTCCGTCTCTAAATACATTTCACAACAGCGTATAAACTACCTAAGGATCTTGTGTGAATGAATGGTAAAAGACAAAGTTTATAAAAAGCTACAAAGAACTGAAAATTGTGGAGAGCCATGATCGTCAACGCCCAGAGAAGAAGAAGAAGAAGAAGAAGAAGGTTTATAAGCAGAAGACAATGATATTGATTTCTCCAATTTGGCGGTAATTGTTCTCCGTACATTATTTACATTATTCGGACTATTGTCCTCATCTTTGTCGCCATATTTATCACAACGTTTCGGCCGTTGTACGCTCCGGCCTTCTTCAGGTGGTTGGAATTTCGAACTGAATCCACTGTGCCATGTGTCCTCAAGGACACATGGCACAGTGGATAAAGGCGTTGGTTAGATCCAGTGACAGGATCCAAAGAGTGTGAGTTCAATACCTGGTTAAGGCAGTGGAGAACTTTCAGAGGGAAATTAACAGGAGATAACTGATAACTGACATTCATGAAACATGGCACGTGGAACTAGAACAGTCTACCCCAGTGAGCGAAATAAAGGGTTCAGTTCGACATTATCTATCTATCTATCTATCTATCTGTCGCAGACTCTTTGTCTACGCTCTTTATCTAGCTAACTAGTTATGCCAGTCTGTTCATATCTATCTATCTATCTATCTATCTATCTATCTATCTATCTATCTATGTCTCTTCATTATCTATCTATCTCCGTCTATCTATCTATCTATCTATCTATCTATCTATCTATCTATCTATCTATCTATCTTCATCTATCTATCTATCTCTTCATTATCTATCTATCTATCTATCTACGTATCCATCTCTATCACTATAGTACTTTCTCTTCTGTATTCCTATTTTCCTCCTCATATTTCTATATGTACTGATGACAAGAGACATAAAACTCTGTTTATGAAAAAAAATTAAAGTCTTTGTTATATTTAGAGTAGAATCAGTTTCATTTTACTAAATGTGATCAAATGTGATACACTGATTAAACGCTTATGTTCTCTTTTCATTTTTGTCGAATACTAGAGACATTATCTTGATTTTTATCGTGATAATAGTCTCAGTTCATATTTTTATATTAATTTAAACCTATTTGCATCCAGTTCTGTCATCTCTTCAGTGGTCGTAAAACTCAGTTTATGGGAGGTAATATTAAAACTAAAGTTATCTATTCCTCTCAATCAGTCACTAGATAATTAGCAGAATGGTCCGAAAAGAAATATTGGAATGGACACATTTCCAGCTCCATGATTGTATAAGACTTTCTTCCTATTTTCTTAACAACTGCAAGCTGTCGCATAGTAATTCCAAAAATGCCATAATTCAGCTTCCTCTTCGATAACGCGGATTGTGTAGGTCATTAAGCCTCCATTATTGCGTGGCAGTTACGTAGGGTGGACATCCCCCGAAATCTTTCTCCTAATATTTCGCAAGTGGCAAGTCAAAATTTCACCATTAGTCAAGTAGCTTTCTGAATACTACTGTTAAGTAACTACAAGGAGTTTCTGGTTAATTCATCGATTGATTGATTTTTACGGCTTATCAAACTTTTTGAGATTATTTAAAGTTGAGACCTATTTTTTGATTTTAAGAATGTTTTGGAGATAACAATTTTCTGATAAAATTGTTACTATTTAACCCATAGCTGGGAAGAGAAGAGGTTTTCATACCCTTCCTAGGGCTATGTGCGCGTATGTGAATATAATGGATTTAGAACTTGGTTAACCGATTTCTTATTCCGAGCCTTTATTCATTACACCACCCGCACATCCAAGCACCTGATATTTCCCAGTGCTCACCCATCTAGGTACTGACTAGATTCAACGTTGCTTATCTTCGGTGATCGAGCGAGAACCAATGTTTCAACGTAGTATGGTCGCAAGCGCCAAGGAGTTTATGGTTTCATATCTGTGTGAACCATAAGCAGATTCTTTTTTGTGGGGGTGGGGGTATGGTCAGTACCTAAATGGGTGACTGTTTGAGAATACCAGGGGCTGTAAGTTTGGATGTGCGGATGGTGTAATGGATAATGGCTCGGAATTTTGAAACGGAGAGGTGAGTTCTAATTTCCGTTGGGTTCATTATATTTACTTATGTGCAAAAACCATTGGGAAAAGTATGAATACACCTCTTCTGCCATATGGATTAAATAGTGGAAGTTGTATTAGTAAATTATTATTATAAAAAAAAAAATTCTTACAATCTAAAAAAAAAAAATTTTCTGGGTTTAAATAACCTCTCAAAGGGTTGATAAACCGTAAGAACAATTATGCAATAATAAGCAAGAACTTCAATTTAATTCATTTCTTTTGTAAATAATTTGTAATTTTCCATCAATATTAGTGCGAATTACAAAACGTTTAATTTCTATCCGAATATCTGGGATGAGGAGTTATAATTATTTAAACTATTTATATTCGGACAATTGTTATCATTGATAATAACAACAACAACGATAAGAACAATAGTCCGAATATAAATAGTGTAAATAAGAAGTTTTATTTGTTTACTGATAATAAAATGTAACTTATTTTTGCATATTTGAACATTTGAATCTGACAAATTAATTTTATAATATTACCCATTTAATTCGATTTTTTAATATAAATCCTGTTAATTTTTTTATTTTATAAAGGATGTTTCATTAAGACGGATCAAAGTCAGCAGTAAATAAGTCAGTGTTATTGGTGAAAATTTATTTATTTCTCTATTGGATCATTTTATTTAAGTAATTATGGGTGAAAAATAATATCTCTCAAATGTCTACCAATTCTGAAAGAAAAAGAAAAAAAATCATTAGACGCTTAAACTTAATTCATATTTAAAATCGGTCCTAGTCATTAGAACACCCTTTATTTATCATAATAATTTTCTTTAGACTTTTTTTCAAGTCCAGACTCAACTAACTAATCCTCATAATGGGCACATACTTCTTACTCTTACGTCCATAAAAGCAGCTTTATTCAGTAAAACTCTCTCTTGAGTGGCTCTTAAGCTTTGTATTGAGCGAACAGTTTAGTAAAAAAAAAAAAAAAACAGAAAGAAAACTGAAGACAATATATGACAAGAAAATAACCAATAACATCAGCGGAGCGCTACTTCATGTGTCAGATTCTTTGTCCGGGAGTAGTGGTTGAAATTTTTCGGCACCGGTGTGTCGTGCAGATGTTATCGTTTCTGGTCCGTCGATGTGCTTGCTTCTCCTTATACCACTATTTGCTTAAATGCCGATTATCATCCGCTTATATCGGTAGAGATAGGCTCAGCTAGAATACAACTTTAGATTCTCAATTTTCCGTTTGTTTGGCCAACTTTGAATCCTTAATTCTGACTTACTGGTTTTGTTATTTTACTGAAACTACGTCAGTGCGTTGTTTACATTACAACGTCTACATGTCTAATTTAAATGAGGCTTTAATCCTGGCTACATCCGTCCACATGCGGTAAAATATCTTTTGGGTTTTTAGAGGTGCGACAGATGCCTCCCACAAGCAAAATAAAAGTTTACTTTAAACAAAATATTAAGAAACAAAAAGATTTCGTTAGAAAAAATAAAAATGTTGAACTGTTATCCAACATGTTCCTACACTGGCCTAACAAAAGATTTTAGCCAGGAGAAATAAACTACATCCAATTTCAAAATTTAATTACGTAATCCCTACTCAACATAAATAAACAGTATTTGGAACTGGTATAGAGTAGGTCCTCCTTTTGCTAGTTTCAGTGCTTGTATTCGATTTTTCATGGATTTGATCAAGTTATCAACAATCGTCTGATCCATATTTTGCCACTCCTTTAGCAATGTTTTGCCATTGACGTGATTTTGGTTCCATGATCTCAAATTTTACGGTGAAGGTACTCCCAAACATGATCTACTGAATCCATGTCAGGACTTACGCACATGCCTCTTAAGGCGCATTACGGGAGTCCGGCTACGGCAAACGAAGGCCTTCGACGAAACTACGCACTTACCTTCTAAGGCGCATTACGGGAGTCCGGCTACGGCAAACGAAGGCCTTCGACGAAACTACGCACTTACCTTCTAAGGCGCATTACGGGAGTCCGGCTACGGCAAACGAAGGCCTTCGACGAAACTACGCACTTAACTTCTAAGGCGCATTACGGGAGTCCGGCTACGGTAAACGAAGGCCTTCGACGAACTTATCGCAGTAAATTGATTCCTTGCGATTAATTCCAGGCCTTTGCTACTTTGTTCGTATGACATGGCGCTCTATTTTCTTGAAGAAGGTAGACATTCTTGTCAATCTGATTATTTTCAAATAGTGGGAGTAGTCCTTTCCCTAATATTTGACAGTATTTTGGACCATTCAACCGTTCGTCAACAAGAATCAGCTCAGATTTCCCTCCAAACCAGACGGCACCCTCTAATCCCTTCATGTTTCACGGTTGTGTGCAGACATTCTGTGTTCCAAGTCTCATTCTGATTTCTCCAAACATAAACTTGTCTCGAATTTGAATATTAGCAGAACTTAATTTTATGTGATCAAATTACAGACTGCCAAAATTCATAATCTTTGCGTTCAAATTCTCTCGCCCAGTCCATACGCCTGTTCCTGTTAACCTCTGAAATCAAGGGCTTCTTTCTTGCAACTCTTCTTTGATAGCCTAGCTCTTTTAGAGTCTTTCCCACTTCGTTTGGCGACATTTCCATGCTGTTGGCGACATCTTTGACGCTCTGACAACGGTTTCTGATGATTTTCCTATTCAGTTCCCTTTTCGTCCACTCAGACACGATGCTTGGTCTTCCTGAACGTCGTTCCACACGACAATGGCCTTCTTCATTAAATTTCTTGACAATATTATTAACCGTTTGATGATTAACCTTGAAAAACCTAGCAATTTCTCTATTTGACTTGCCACACTGATGCCATATTATTATTTACCCTCGTTGAAATTCACCAGTTCCCTTACTTACGCGAACTTTCATTGCAAGATATAAGTCAACTATCGTTCATAGATTAGAGTAGCTTGATATGAAACACGGTATCGTCTGAAGAAGAAGAGACGTTATTAAAGCCAAAATTGCTGTAATTAAGCATGGCTAAAAACTTATCCTAGCCCATTGTATATGACAATGGAAGATGGACAATTGAAGAGATTTAAGACACCAGATATGGGATTATACAGAAAGATAATGAAAATACCATGAACGGAGTGAGGACGTTTTAAAGAAAATGGGATTGACTGATTTGTTTTTGACGGTTTAACAACACTTTGTGGATTATTTAAAGCCGAATCATATTTTGGTTTGTACGAGGTTGCTTACGGTGTTATCAAGCGGTCCCCTATGAAAGTACTGAATGAGCTATACGCTGCTTAACTTCGGATATCGAAAGGAAAATGGGGACAGAAAGGACACATACTTAGAATAAAAAAGCGACAGTTGAAAATTTTAGGGCACACATGAGGAAAGGTTGCTTGGAAAATCTTACACTCATAGGACATATGGAAGACAAGAGAAGCAATGAGTAACGTACCTAACTAGTTTTTCTAAATGGATATAAAACATTGTCTTCGAGGAAGAGGACAAATATTGCGTAGTGATACGAAGGATAGGAAATTGTGGAGAGCTATAATCACCCATGTCATAGAAGAAGAAGTTGGTTTGGTTTGGTTTGGTTTGGTTTACGGCATATCAACCTCAATGGGTTATTTAATGCCGACAAAATTTTTATTGCTGGTAATTTTTTTTCAAAAACGTATTGCTGGTAAAATTAAAAAAAAATGTAAGCTGGTAATACTTTTTTCCAAAAAAGTATTGCTGAATAATAATTTTTCCTTCAAAAAATTATTGCTGGCAATAATTTTTTACAAAGTATTTCTGGTATTAAAACCTATTTTTACACTTTCATAGTATTTTGACCAAAGTTTAACTATTTGCCCATAGCTGGGACCCTAGCAGGTGCTACCACTCCGATTCAGGGTGGACCTGAGAACACCAACAATTAAGAAGTGGTTCCACGCTCCTCCTTGTTTCTGGACGTGGTTTATCGTCTTATCCAGGACGCGGATGTAGTTTATCGTCATACCCAGGACGAAGAAGACGTTGGTGCGTGTCGTGCAGGGTTTTACGTACATAACTGTGGGATCGTTTTACATTACAGACACCCATAATGTCTTTCTACCCAATTATCCATCTTAGCTGCACCGGAAGTGGAACAAAATGTCTTCACTAGTTCTAGCTGACAGTTTTATATGAACTTTATTACGAATTTCACTTTGTATTTTTCACATTTCGAAATATAATCTATCCCTGTTCACGGCACGCCTAATTTCATCTCGGTGTTTACCAATGCGATTTGAAAGACACTAGTCTGGAACAATGATTCAAGTGTTAGTCACCGACATAAATGGCGAACACACTACAGTAATAATGAACAGTGAGATGAGCTTGCTCACCATTGCTTTATGGGGATGTGATATTTAGCTTAGAAGAGAAGAATGTTACAATCATCTGACAGCCAATGAGACTTGCTAACTAATGGTCTATAGTGAAATTTTGGGTACGTTTAGAAATGATCGGGTCATAATTTTCCAAGTGTGATGTCAATCCTCATTGGGATTAAATCTTGCAGTGAAAACACTGCTCGGGACTTTTCCCATATAACTCTCCTTCTCTCGTTTTCTTACCAATAATAAATTTCATGCGCCGACTGTCATATAAATTTGGAATTCGATATGGAATTTCGGATCCCATCAACTGCTATCCCATTGCTTAACTACTGTGCAAAAACTGCAAGTGCATGTTTGGGTGCATAGTTGCGAGAAGGAGATGGGCCGGGGTGACTGAAGATCTGTGTGTGATGGAGAAAAAGTGTGTTGCACATAGAGCTTCATTGTATCCTATAGCAAAAGCATTCACGAACCTTTTTTTTTTCTTCTGATATGTTCTCTAACTCAATTGAACCCTTCTTTTTCTTGGATATATTTTTATTTTCCATCCGTGTTTTCGTAATAATAAAAAAAATTAAAAAGAAAGCAGCCAATAATGAGAAAAAAATAACACCAAAAAAAAAAAAAAAAAAAAAAAAAGAAAAAAACGTAATGAAATAAAGAAACAACCGAAAGTATAACACAACAATATATATATATATATATATATATATATATATATATATATATATATAGGTATGTATGTATGTATGTGTGTGTGTGTGTGTGTGTGTGTGTGTGTGTGTGTGTGTATATGTGATAAAACACAAAAATGAAATAGAATAAAAAATAGATTTCTCTCAAATTGGCGGGGAAGGGAGTTTAAAACGCTGCCTAATGTTTCAGGAAGGATGGTATGGAAGGTAGTAAGGAATGGAGCATATTTTTAAAAGAATGGAATAAAATATAATGGTTGCAACGCAAAGAAAAGATCCCAAGGGCCAGATGAATGGAGTTGGAACTGTTTGGCAAAGTGTAACTTTAAACAAATATCGCCATGTCTCTTCTCATCTAGTTAGTAGCATTTATATATTTTATGCAATTTGGGGGATTTTCAGAATTTTTTTTTTTCATCAATTTTTTTTTCTTTTTATAAGCCTCGTTTTTTTTTATTTTTATTTTTCCAATTCTTTTTTTTTCCCTAGTTTTTCAGCTTTTGTCTGGCTTTTTCTTTTTGGCATCAGTCTCCATTCCGTTCTCTTATTTTTTTTTTTTTCATCTTTTTTAAAAAATTATGTCTGCTTTCCACAATTTCTTTCCTTAACATCAGTGACTATCTCTTTTTCTTTTAATTATTTACAAAGCTTCGATTATTCTGATACAATACTTCAGCGATGGGACATCGTTAAGGCTCGAACTCATTGCTCCCACGATTTATTAATCTGCGAAACAGGCTAGCTTACCATTTTACCACAGAAAGTCCCTCTCTCTCTCTGTCTCTCTCTGTCTCTCTGTCTCTCTGTCTCTCTCTCTCTCACTCTCTCTCTCTCTCTCTATATATATATATATATATATGTATGTATGTATGTATTTGTAATTCTTTCGGTTTTTATTCTTTTGTTTCTGTTTTCCCCTTTTTCTTTATTTTTATTTTTCTTACTCTCTTGTTTCTTTTTCTCCTTCCCTCTTCCTTTTCTTTCCTTCCCCCCTTCCTTTTTCCTTACCATTATTCTTTCTCTCTAACGATATCCCAGTTCATTTACTTTCCTTAAAAACCTCACTTTTTTTTTTATCTCCATCGCCTCGTTTCTCGAATTTTTTTATTTCTTGCACCTTGCATTACCTCCCTTCTTTCTACCAAGTTCTATATGTATTTTTTACTTGTCATTACATTATTTTATGATTATGCTATTGTTTATTTTTACTGTATTATTGTTTTGTTATTATTTTTTAAAACAAAAAGTGGGAATCAGAGGTGGCTGAAAGCAAAACGAAGGTTCATTTCTCCATTTCTTTCCTTCTTGACTGAAAGGCAAAAATAGGAGAAGAAAAAAGCGACAAGAAAGAAATTAATAAAAGAAAAGCGTGGAAAAGCCATGAATGAAAAAGGAATAAAAACGGATTTTAAAAAAAATCTGAAACGATAAAAAATTAAAAATAAAAACGTATAGGAAAGGAATTAAACACAATATGTATGAAACAAAAAAATCAAAACAATTTTGCTTTTTTTTCTATTAAAAATGCTAAAAAGCTAAGGCCAGGAAATCGGCAAAAATAAAATGAGAATGAAGAATTTGAAGAAAAAAAATAACCTGGAAGTATAATCCATGACCTGTTTTATTTCAGCTTTGATTTTGTTTGAATGATTTAACCGCCCTCTTGTCTATTCCTGCTTTTGCAGACGATCTTCCATTTATTCTAGAATTTTCTTTTCCTTTTTTTTTAAATTGAGTTATTTAATCTTCTTTTCCTTTGTCTTTCTTAGCTTTTCTTTCTTTCTTTCTTTCTTTCTTTCTTTCTTTCTTTCTTTCTCATTACGCTTTTCCCTTTAATATTCTTTTAACTCATACTCTTTCTTTCCTGTTTTTCTCATCCTTTTTTTCTTTGGAGAAAACTTTAATTTTTTAGACTTTAATTTTACACAATTTTTCTTTAAGTTTCTTTTAAAGTGAAATATAGGTGGCGTCTTTTGTTTTGCCGTTTGTTTTTTTTTTATTTCGAAATTTTTATTCATTTTTTTCTTTGTATGTTTCTTTTTTATGTTTTCTTTCCTGTTTTATTCCTCTCTATAATTATTCGCAGTATTTTTAACGATATTCTTTTTCCAGTTTTATTCCACCCTTTTGCTTTTATATATATATATATATATATATATATATATATATATATTTTTGCCCGCATTTCTTTTTCGCGAGATTCAGATCTGTATATTTACTGATTTTCCTTATTTTTTTACAGAATCTTTTTTTCATTTTTTGTATTTAATTTTCTCTTTTTCACATTCATTTCTCTTCTCTTTTTAGAATGATCTCTCCTTCCCCACTAATTTTCATATTTCATTTACACTCTTACCGAGAAACTTTGTTCGTAAACCAAAAGTTATTTTTCTTTTCGTTTCACTTTCTTTCGTAATATTTTTCGATTCATTCTTCCTTTCTTAATATTCTCCTAGTCTTTCTTTCTTTTTTTCTTTCTTATTATTCCCGTCTTTCTTTCTTTCTTTCTTTCTTTCTTTCTTTCTTTCTTTCTTTCTTTCTTTCTTATTATTCCCGTCTTTCTTTCTTTCTTTCTTTCTTTCTTTCTTTCTTTCTTTCTTTCTTTCTTTCCGTCTTTCTTTCTTTCTTTCTTTCTTTCTTTCTTTCTTTCTTTCTTTCTTATTATTCCCGTCTTTCTTTCTTTCTTTCTTTCTTTCTTATTATTCCCTTCCTTCTTTCTTTCTTTTTTCTTTGCCATTTCATTCTTCATCTCGTTTCTTTCTTTCTATTTTTTCCTTCCTTTCTTATTATTTCACACTTTCTTTCTTTCTTTCTTTCTTTCTTTCTTTCTTTCTTTCTTTCTTTCTTTCTCAGTCCATGTCTTTATTCATTAGTTTCTTTCAGTATCCGTTCATTCCCATAAATACACTCCAATGTACGTCAGATTTTATCATGTAAATCAATGTTTTCATTATAAAAATGACACTTAAAAAACCTCTAATCAATCAATGTTCATAGCATTTTAATGATAGAACTATGTTTATATGAGCAATATACCATGTTTATTTCTTATAATATCTATCCCTATTTTAAAAAAATATATTGACAGTAATTTACTTTTGGAGTGTCACATTTTATTATGCAAGTAAATTCAATGCAATATAAACTTTTATTTGTTAACGCATCCAAAATATATCGATCATAGAAATATATGTTTGATCATTTTCTGAATAAATTATCACTCAATACAACGCCCAAGAGTCACTCAAGGTAGAAGGTTACTGAGTAAGGTTTTTGTATGAACACAGGAGGAGAAAGTAAGTGCAGATATGTAGGAAAGATAAGGGCTGAGCCTAGATTAGAAGAGGTTAAGATTGCGATAGTTAGAAATCTATCCTTATGGGAGTTTCTTCTACAAAGTATCGCCTACGGTCAAATCACTCTGAAAACACCGGTTCTCGTTAGATCACAGATTAAGCAACGTTGAATTCAGTTAGTATTTAGATGGGGGACCGCTTGGGAACATCGAGGACTAAATCAGCTTCCTAGAATCCGAAAAAAAATATTTAAACTTTAAATAGCCCACAAAGGGTTAATAAGCCATGAAAAACAAATCAATTAATCCACAAAGTAGCACTTCTGGCAGAGAAACGTTCTGAGCGGAACTTCCTCTTTACCAATGCAATACGAAAAGACTGAGGCTGAGTATACTGTATAGGCTGTATACGTCTTTTCTGTAAAAGTCGGAATGTGGCTAGCCTGAATATTTGTCATGGAATAAGCGATAGAGTTGCGAGAGTCTTGAGACATTTCTTCTCGGGGAAAGGAGCTATATGGTTGAAAATAATTTATCGCCCACTTATATAGGAATAAATTGTCACTGCCGGCACTTGGGTTTGAACATAGATCACCAGTGAGCAAACTCAGGTGATCCCGTGATTAAATTAAGTTGGCCACGTGACCATAGAGGAAACGGTTATACGGGAAGTAGCTGAAGTCTAAACGATCGCCATTTCTATTCTATCCTCTATTACGATTCGGATCTCTATTTCTAGTCTATCTTCTATTACTATACGGAGCTCTATTTCTCTATAATATTCACTATACGGATTACTATTCGAGCGAGTATTATCGAGCAAGTACTATTAGTGCGAGTGATATTCAAAGGCGTCTGACACCAGTATTGTTCAACGGCGTTACTACTATATACTCTGCGATTACAAAGTCTCTACTACAACGAGCATTACGAAAGTGACAACAAGTATTCGCTGACATCACAAAACTGTCAACGAATGTTCGGTGACATCACAAAACCTACAATGCATCGTAAAAGATAGGAAATAGAGATTGGGAAGCTGCAACCCAGATATGGTAGCAATACTCGATTTTTTGATCTTATTGTAAAGATAGAGCAAGGTAGGAGGAGTCAGGTGTTTTCTGGAGTGGTACAAGGATGTGACTTTTTGAGATATGGAGGGAAATTCATTTCCAATTTCTCATTTAAAGTTAAACATCGAATCAATAGTTTCATCTACTGCAAGCAAAATTGGGTCACTCTGTCGTGCCAGACGTTTTTTTTTTTCGCCAGAATCTATCTTGTATATTTACAAATTTACCATTCATCTGTGCATTGAATACTGCTGCCATATCTGGTCTGGTGTTCCTGCTATTCACCTCGAGATTCTTGATAAAATCCAAAGACGGATTCTGTAATATAACCGATCCTGACTTGGCATTTCGACTTCAGTCACTTTTTCACTTTTTGTGAAGTAGCTTCCTTTTGTCTTTTCTACAAATATTTTCATGGTAACTACTCTGACGAGCTCTTTTTCCACGTGCCCTGACTGTATGAATTTAAGTGTGCAACTGGATTGGCATGTAGGTTCCATCCGTTTACTGTTGAAATAGCTAAATGCAACTGCCACTTCTACTCCAACAGTTTCTTTTCTCGCACTTTCCGCCTGTGGAACTCTCTTCTGTTTACTTGCTTCAAGGAAGGAAGAATGGAATGAAGGAAGAAAGCAAGTAAGTAAGGAAGGAAGAATGGAAAGAAGAAAGGATGGATGAATGGAAAAATGATAGAAAGAAAGAAAGAAAGAAAGAAAGAAAGAAAGAAAGAAAGAAAGAAAGAAAGGGATGGAATTAGGAAGGAAGGAAGAATGGAAAGAAGAAAGGATGGATGAATGGAAAAATGATAGAAAGTAAGAAAGAAAGAAAGAAAGAAAGAAAGAAAGAAAGAAAGAAAGGGATGGAATTAGGAAGGAAGGAAGAATGGAAAGAAGAAAGGATGGATGAATGGAAAAATGATAGAAAGAAAGAAAGAAAGAAAGAAAGAAAGAAAGAAAGAAAGAAAGAAAGAAGGAAAGAAAGAAAGAAAGGGATGGAATTAGGAAGGAAGGAAGAAAAAAAAGGACGGAAGCAAAAAAGGGAGTAAGGAAGCCAGAAGGAAATGAAGCAAAAAAGTAAGAAAGGAAGGAAGAATGGAAAGAAGGAAGAGCGAAAGAAAGAAAGGAAAGAAGGAATAATAGAAGAAAGAAAGAAAGAAAGGAAGGAAGGAAGGAAGGAAGAAAGTGTATGAAAATATTAAGAAAGAAAGAAAGTGTGGGACAACAGAAAGAAAGAAAAAAGAAAGATAGATTAAAAAGGAAGAAAGAGAGAAAGAAAGAAATGAAGCAAGAAAGAAAGAATGAAGCAATAAAGGAAGTAAGGAAGACAGAAAGGAAGAATGGATGGAAGGAAGAAAGAATGAAAGAAAGATTAAAGAAAGAAAGAAAGAACGAAAGAAAGAAAGAAAGGAAGGAAGCTATAGAGGAAGGAAGAATGAAAAGAAAGAAAGAAAGAAACGAGGAATGAAGGAAAAAAGAAAGAAACAAACGAAGAAAGGAAGGAAGGGAGGAAGGAAAACTGAATAGAAGGAAGGAAGAAAGAAAGGAAAGAAGAAAGTAAGAAAGAAAGAAAAAAGGAAGGAAGAAATGAAGCAATACTTATTAAATACTTTATCGACTGATATCTGTATTGTCATTTTAAGGAGTCAGGTCGTTTACAAAACGTAACGCGCATTGGAATAGGAAAACATCTATTTCAAAAACTAAACGAAGTATTACGAAACACGAAAATTTCGTTAGAAACAAACAAAAAAAAATGTTGCTGAACTGTTATGCAAGATCATTCCTCTTGCTCTTGTGACATTGAATGCCGGGCAATTTGTTTACACATGAAAAGAAAACTGGAAGCCACAGAAATGTGGTTTCTCAGAAGGATGTTCAGAATACAATGGACGGTGTTCGTAAGCAGCGATGAAGACTTAAGTAAAAATGGAAACGAAAAGAACAATTATACTCAGAATCAGAAAGAGACGCATAATGAGGAAAGAGGGCTTGGAGAATTTGACACTCGTAGAACATATTGAAGGAAAACGAGACAAGGTAAGGTAGCGGGACCATCTACCAGACCAAGTTCTGCATATGGATGACAGAATGGGAGGACGGAAGGCTCACGAAAGCGACAAACCCTGTTAAGAGCTCCAAGGGATTGCAGGTTGTGGAGAGCTTTGATCAGCCACACCCTGAAGAGACAAGGCACACCAAAAACGAAGCATAAAAGGAAAGGAAAGAGAGTGAGAAAAAAAACAAAAAAAACAAAACGAAAGAGACAGAAGGAGAGAAAGAGAGAGAAAGCATGAAATATGAAATGACGTGAAATATAATAATGTGATATGTTTAAATATTTACTGTTCTACCGTGAAAATAATATAAGCTTCTAAACATGCCTCGAAAATGCTGTCGTCTGCTTCTGAGTAAGTCGTACGGACTTCAAGGAAATATGGTACCGAAAAACGTAGCAGTCGAACGTGCACAGGTAATTATTAGCAGAATAATATTAGGGGGATTTTTCTGTGCGCCCACGTCGCTAGCGAATGTGTCACAAGGTTGAGGTTTAAAGTGGGTTTAACGCTAATACCGTGGAAAATTTTCCCAATCGCCCTCAGCACTTTCCTTTTGGTGACGCCTCAGGCGCCGAGCAATAAATCCAACCCCCTCCCGAAGAAGAGGTACTGCCTGGGGGAAGGACCCCTGGAGATTGGACTGTATATTTTTAAAAATTCCCCACATAAGCTTTTGCCGACAGCAGGGAAGTATTATCAATTTTCTAAGCGTATCACAAGGCTGAAAGTATGGGGCACCTAGTGAGGATCGAACTCGCTATTCAGTCGTAACTGACCTAGCGGTACAAGATTGTTAACTATTACACCACGTCGAAGTACTCAAAATGATTTTCTCAGAGTAGCTTAGATATAGCACAAGGCTGAGAACGTAAAGCACCCAGTGAGGATCGAACTCACTAGTCAGTTTTAATTGATCTAGCAAGACAAGCTTGCTAATCATTACACCACGTTGAAGTGCTCAAAATGATTTTCTAAGCGTAGATCAGATGTGGTACAAGGTCGAAAATATGGTACACCCAGTAAAGATCGAACTCCTAATGAAGTTGTAATTCACCTAGCGAGGCCAGCTTTCTAACCATTACACTACGTCGAGCTGCCGAAAAAATGATTTTCTAAGCTATGCTTAGATGTCGCACAAGGCCGAAAATGAGGAGCACCCACTGAAGATCGAACTCACTCCTCATCTGTAACTGATCTAGCTCGCCTACCATTGCACTACGTTGAAGTGCCAAATCAGAATAATATCAGTATATTTTTGAGATGAGGTATTGTTTACACTATTTACATTGCTCGGACTATCATAGTCATCCTTCTTCCCATATTTATCACAACATTTCGGTCGTTGTATGCTCCGGCCTTCTTCAAGTGTGGAACTGAACCCTTTATTTACATGGCACAGTGGATAAAGGCGTTAGATCCAGTGACAGGACCCAGAGAGTGTGAGTTCAATACCCGGTTAAGGCGGTGGTGAACTTGGAGAGGGGAATTAACAGGAGATAGCTGATAACTGACATCCATTAGACATGGCACGTGGAACTAGAACAGTCTACCCCATTATAATTTAGGATCTGCTTGTGTATTGAGCACTGTTTTTGTTTAAAATAAAAACAAAAATACTAAAGAACTTCGGGTCTTAAATTTAAGCGTTCTTTCCTATTATATCAACACATACACACACGCACACACACACGCGCGCGCACACACACACACACATATATATATATATATATAGATAGATAAATATGTAGAAAACTAACTGAATCTAACTGAAATAATAAAAACGTAAGAATTATTATATACAACCAAGTGTGTCTGAAGATTTTAACTTTTTAATTTTTTAATATTTTTTATTGTTCAAAACACACACACACACACACACACACACACACACACACATATATATATATACATATATATATATATATATATATATATATATATATATATATATATATATATATATATGAGACCTGGGTTCGGATCTCACCACGGCTGATTTGTCCAGGATGGAGACTTCCTAACGGTATCGGTCTGGACGGGGACGATCCAATGGCTGCTCGTATTTAAGTAGACGCTCCGTTCATTTATTAAACAGTATTTATTTTTGACTACCGGTATTAATAATGGAGAAATCTTAGAGAAAAATGTAGGCTCGGTCTGTGAGAAAAAGAGCACCATGACACAATTAACTCCGCAAGAAATTTAGAAAGGGCATGCTGTACAACTTGGCATTCGCACCGGAAGTTCCAATACGAACATTTCAGTGTGTTTGGGCGCCAGTCTGAGGAAAATGCAGGTGATTCCAAAAGGGTTGAATGTGTCTAATGGTGATTACGAAGGTGTTTGGACTGATCACTAGTGATGACGTTTCGAGAAACGTGTCACACGAAAAACTTTTTTTCCACTTTGCCCTATAATTTTTCTTGATATATAAAAATGTAAATATCGTTTTCTCATATATATATATATATATATATATATATATATATATATATATATATATATATATATATATATATATGAAGATAGATCGATAGAGGGCGAGAGGGAAAATACAATGAACCGCTGAAGGTATAAGGGCACTTTTGCTTTAAATTTTTATAAAATTTTACGGAACCCGACTGAATTGGCGTTAGTCGGGATATATATATATATATATATATATATATATATATATATATATATACTGTTTAACATTTGTTATGTTTATGGTGATAGAACAATCAATATCGAAGATAAAACGTTTCTTGATATAGAAAAATCAACATTGGTTTGTGCATGTCAGTTTCATGCCTTATGTGACATTCCTTCTTTATTAATCTCTCTACAGTGTTCAGTCAAGTAACTGTGATGCAAGGTTTGAAGATCGCTATGCAGTGTTGATTCCTATACCTCTCTCTTTATATATATATTTATTCTTAGCATGAATTTTAGCTCTTTTATTTTGCATCGAATATTGTTTTATTATCACTGACACCTATTTTGTACTAATATATAATAGCCGTGTATAGAAGGCCTTGAAATATACTGTCTCTATGTTGAGGATTTTTTTTTTTTTTTTGCTGTAAAAATACATATGTTCTATTAAAATAAAAACATCGAGCTCTCTGTGGATCAATTTTAATAATTAATATTACTAGGATCCACTCGGATTATATACCAACGGATCGATTACCTATATATATATATATATATATATATATATATATATATATATATATATATATATATATATATATATAATGAAAAGGGCTTAAACACTAATATTCCATGGTCATAATTTATTCCATTGGAATCGTAAATACGATCCAATTCATCAGACCTACAAATTCAAAAAGAAAATAGAAAAAACAACTCCGGAAATAAAAATAGAATTTAGAGAGAGTGTAAGTATGAGAGTGTGGGACGAATGTTAGAGGTAAAGAGAGAGGTAACAGACGAAAGAAGGTGCGAGATTAAAACTTAACAGAGAGGAGTTTTAGAGAGGTGAGTTAAAGACGGTTTAAGTGAGAGAAATATGAATGTTGTCGGATGTCTAATACATTAAAGATGTAACAGGAAAGGATACATTTTGTGGTGACATACACACACAATATAGACGATCTAATCTTAAAGATCGTGTGTGTGTGTGTAATGGAAAATGTGTGTGTGTGTAAAGGAAAAATGTCTGTGTGTATGTGTGTAATAATTTCTCAGAATTATGTAGAAAAAGACAATATATATAAAGGAAAAAAGACAATAGGAAAACTAGTTTTAGCCGACGCGTTTCGTCCAATGGGAACTTTTTCAAGGCAAAAAACGAAATGAATTTATTGGAACAAAGTATCTATAAACAACAAACAAAATGTCCTTAGCAACTAGAAAAATATAGAAATCCTACTGTAAATTCATATTGTCAATTGAAAAATTACGCCAATTACTTTCTGCTTGAATAGAATATTTTTACGTGTAGAAATATTGTTTGTAGTGTTGTATTGACAGATTCAACTGTTTTTTTATTATTTGTTAATATATTTGTTGTGTACGTTAGCTTGAGAGAGTAAGCAGTTCTGTTTGGAAAGGTGAGATTGGAAAAATAAGCCTGGGCGTAGATTAATATTTGGATTTGAAAAAGTACACACCGGACTAAAACACGTCGGCTAAAACTAGAGTTCTCCTACTGTCTTTTTTCCTTTATAAATACTCTGTTTTTCTACAGGTTAATTCTGAGAAATTTTTACACACGCATATATATACTTTATATATGTACATAAATAAAAAGAAAGAACAGCAAGATATATAATCCGGTGTTCTTATAGATATTTTTTATTTTTACCAAATAGTGCTCAATGTAAATTTACAGAGCATTAATATTATAAATTAATTGATTTAAAATATGGTTTTTTCGCTACACAGTTCTAACCATGTTTCAAAAATGGAAGCTAAACGCCACGAATTTAATTTTGTGATTAAATTAAAGACATTAGTTCCATTTCATCCTCAAGCAATTTTTAGCTTCCATTTTTGAAACATGGTTAGAACTGTGTAGCGAAAAAACCATATTTTAAATCAATTAATTTATAATATACTTTATATATATATATATATATATATATATATATATATATATATATATATATATATATATGTACACTTTATATTAGTTAGTTACAAAGATTCTCTAAAAAGTGGAGTTTACATCATGAAAAGATGTCCCAAATATAATGATTTAGAAATTCCTGCGAAAATCAGACAATCTTCAGGACTTATTGAAAAGGGAATTAAATTATTTTTAAACGTTTCTTTTCTAGAACATTGTGGTCCAAAGTAATTGTGATTCTTGTTATTAAATGTAATTCTCTTCATTAAATCTTTTTCAAAAATAAAATATACTTTTATAAAACGTTATTCAAGGAATATTATCGGATTTAGTTTAATTAATCTGATTTGAACAATCATTACATTCTTTTAGTTTAAAATAACACAGAAATGCATTTTTTTACACGTAGGTAAGTTTATTTAAAGTGTTGACATGTTGACAACTTGACTTACAGACTATTTTTTCTACAGTGAGCATATCTGTAAAAATGACTTGAGGAATATAACGTGAGCGACTTTTTATATAATTTTTAACTACCCAGTAATCATTAAAAACTAGGAAAGTATTCTCCGTAATCTAAAGTTTTATTGAATTTTAGGTGCATCAGATTTAAATTTGCTACAGTCGTCGCTCTTTTGTGATAATATCGTGTATGG